GTGGATGATGAGGCAAGATCAGTAACTGGAAAAACCAGCTCTACAGATTCTGAAAAGCAGCAGAAAAATTCAAATGACATAGGTGCTCGACTTGAGATCGTAACTGTTGATGATCACACTGGTGAGGCAAGTCAAGTACCTACTGCAGCTACACCAATTCTCCGTATTTCCAATCCGGGAGTAGCTAAAATCATAAAGGATTCCCGGACAACTATGTTGATGAATACAACTCCAAAGATCACGGCACCACTGGTTACTTTAAATACATCAGTTCATGAGATCCCATCCCAAACGACTGAGTCTTTTGGTGAGCAAGCAACTGATTCCGGACAGCAGCTACTCTCTTCAGGTAACAATCAACAAGTAGACAAAGGTATGGTTTCAATCTCTCAAGCATCCACAAATGAGGTGAGTGCTTATAATGAGAAACAAGGTGTGACAAGTGCTGCTATGATTAATGGTAAGACATGGGCAGATCAAGTGGAAGAGGATGACGAAGATAATGTCTTTAACTTCCAGGAAGCAAGCAACGATGAAGCAGATTATGGTTCCAAGAGTTATAGTTCGAATAAGAAGGCAGTAGAGGTGTATGAACAGGCTTCTAATTTTTCTAATAGCTGGCCAAGTAAGAGAGAGTTAAGCCCAAATGCGCCTGTATATGTACCTACTGGGCAGCAGCAAATTTCAGCAGTTGGCTTGAAGGATCGATCTAATATTAAGGCTCTATCAACAGGAAAGGTGGCAAGCACAGGTTCTCCTATTGGAAGGTACAATTTGACTCCTACAAATATTCTTCAAGCTCTTGAGGATCCGGGTAAGGCATTAGCTACTACTTCCAAGCCAATTGGTATTATGGCCAAGACACATGAGCAGGGATACACAATCCTATTGAAGCATTTGGTGCGGATATGGGTCAAGTTTTTTATGAAGGGGAAGAGGAAGAACTTCTAGATGCAAGCTTTGCAAATGTAGCTAGGGATGGAGATTTCTCACCTAGACACTTGAAAAGTGGTTCCAACAAAATCAAAAAGAACGCCTCCACAAGAAGTTGTCATTAGGCATCTTCCAATAAGAGTTGCAAAGCAAAAAGGGGCTGCCCCTACCACCTCCACAAGGTCCAATAGATCCACGAAGAAATGATGAAGTTTGAAGAATTTTTTAAGGTAGTTGAAGAAGAAGACAAAGAGCTACAAGATGAAGAACTCACGAGATTGAAGAAGGGGCAAGGTTCTTATTTCTACATCATCCTATTCTATCATTTTTTAAGCATTATCATATGTAATATCATCACAGAGTGTGTTATAAACTCTATAATGATCATAGAGTATCTAGTACTTTCTAGTTATTATTTCTTACATGCTTGCTAGTAAATGAGGTTGCTCATGCAATCAATAGGAATTGTAAGGTACGCTCTAGCTCGGTAAGTGTTTGCTATATGCCTATGCCTTTGGGAAGTATCTAAATGGCTATGAGATCATCCACCCTCGTGAGACTTTACCCGCGGCTGTCATGAGGCTGCCATCATGAGGCAATGGAGGCGCACATGAATGATTATATACCTAAGGCAATAGAGGCAAAACTATTGTAGCTTTTGCCCCCTTACTTGTACTTTTTCTTTGTGGTTTTTTCTTTTTCTATTATTAATAAAAATAGCTACTAGGCACCCTGCGTAGTAGTATAATTTGCTAAACAAAACGGTCTATAAGACCAGTTGAACATAAACATCATTAATCCCTTCCTAAACCAATTTCTTAGGAGCAAAAGCAATATATACAACAAAGTTATCTAATTCAGCAAAATTTTCAAGCTGCAGAATCTTGCTTTCGTAATTGAACTCTAAAAATAATCTATTGATGGGCATGAAGAACGAGGAAGCCCATGTATGTGCAGAACAAATTGGGAAAAACTAAAGGCAAAAAGGAATAATAAGGGGAGAATAAACTTACCCGATAACTGTAGCAGCCCAACTACAAAATCATATATGGAGAGATGGGGAAGTAATCCTTCAAAATTGCAGAAAGATAAGGACCAAAAAATTTATCGACCATTGATCAGTGAACATCAATTAAGTAGAAAAGTAAAATATTTTATATAAAAAAAGGATTACATTAATCAATAGAAAATATGTAATACACTTTTAAACTTTATTTTAGGTTTTCATCATTGCAACAAGTATATTGAAACATCAAAAAATTCTTTTAATACAAAGTTATCAACTTCTTGAATCATGTTCTATTACTTAAGAACATACTGCACATGAGAGATTAAATGGTTTATGCGAAAATTTTTAAGTAATTTTATTCTCAAAAAGCTAGAAAAATCTACTTCAACTAAAAATATATATGATTTTTTTAAAAGGGCCTCACATTAAAGTTTGGCTTTAGGCCACCAAACTTATTGAGCCGCCCCTGCCAGGAAGCAGGACGACGAAGTCCTGCTTATTCCCGCTTCTAAATAGTAGGAATTATATGCATTTTACTAAGGATTTAACATATATCTTTAGACCGTGTGTGGTAAAATCGTAAGAAGCATTAGTAGCAAAGATGAACATGTTTCTAAGAATAGCAGTTCGTGTGGCCATTTCTGAGTACACACAAACGCCAATAGGCAATAACAGCGCAAAACTTAAGTCTCGCTCGTTTCAAAAATAATACTAAGTAAAGAAGAGGGTCAGTTTGGATGAAGCAAACAGAAATCCACACAATGCCCAAATTTGAAATGCTAAAATAGCAATGGGATCAAATTCACAGCATCAGAAATCCAAACAAAAAAAAAATCACAAAATTTCTTTTAGAAAAAACACAAGAAAGAATAGAACTGACATGCATCAAGAAATTAGAACAATAAACATGCAGAAATAGAACCCTCGAATAGGGAAAGGAGTTTGCACCATGGAACTGAATCTACAAATATTCAACTGATAAGCTCAGACACAACAAATTGCAAAGAAGTGTTGTTGAAGAGTTATAAGTATCATTTCACTTTTCAATAATTAAAGATAACATTAATTCCTCTTACAGTGCTTAGCAAGGATACATCATATGCAATAAGATACGCGAGTAATATCTCCTAACATTAGGAACATGAATCCTTTATCCTATAACATAAAGGGAATAAATACTTAAGAGGGAACGACCTATCTATATGCTTCCTAAAGAAAACAAGCTTTTCGAGTAAATTTCATAAGGATGTAACCCAAGTTTATTCACTCCTCTGAAGCATTTTCTTTTCAAGTCATAGAAGATCACGACTTGATGCAAATGTGTATGCAAAATGTGATCCCCATTACTGATGGACAAATCTGTTTGGAAACAGAGCTCTTTTATCGCGGCATTAGACCTGCGATTAAGTCCCTAGACTAGGGAGATCAAACATCTCCTCGGGAATAAGACGTAACTCCTGTTTTTTCTTTTTTAATAAAAAAAACCAAGATCCCCTTCCAATACGGGCTCAAAGGCCGACCTCTTCCGAGCCAAAGCGATGTGTGAATATAATCTCTTCATTCCATGTCATGAAGAAAGACTTAATATTCGCAGACCCAAAGCTGACCAAATCGATGCTATACTCCTTTACCCAACTGCAACCTTTTTTTTATCCTTGAGTATCCACAGGTCTAGAATTGAACTCCTGCGAAAGCAGCGTGCGTCTGGCATGCAAAGCATCCCTTTCATATCCATTAGACTCAGGCCACATTTAGGGTAAACCAAACCAGCGCATACACGCCATCTGAGTTGTCTATCAGGGACAGTGACGGTGTATAACTCCTCCTTGCTTCCTTCCATGTCAACTGAAACAAATCGGAGCCTGTAACTTTTTGACCGTGTGGCAAACACTTAAAAGAAGCTTGGGGGGGGGGGGGGCATTTTCCATTGATTGTCTCAAGTAAGAATGAAGGAAAGAAGGACAAGTAATAAAATCATTCCACGACTTGGATCGGATGTGCACCTTAACATGGATAATCACTTCAGGGGGCATCTCAGAATGAGAGAGGTTATAACATCAGCAGGTAGCTTAGCCACTATTTGCATAGCTCCCATTCTCCTCCTCCTCTCTACTACTACAACTTTTCCTCCTGTGTAGTATTGATATTTTCATCTTCTTATTAGGCTGCTGCAATATCATCAGTAAGATATTAGATACTTAAAGTGAGATTTGTAATTTTAATTGCTTTTTTTTCCGCTATAATTCTTTTGTTACTGCCAAACAAAACTAAAGGGTTCAAAATATAAAAATGTAATCACACACTACAACAAATTTGATTTATAGCGACAAATGTTGTTGTCATTAAAAAGCTTTATTTCGTCACTAAATATCTTTTCTGACCAAATTTTTTTCGTCAATTCTTCGTAGCCATAAATGGGTCACTAAAAGTTTACAAAGACGATTTAGTGGTTCGTCGCTAAATGACGTTACATTAGCGACAAATTTGTTATTTCGTCCCCAAATATGTTGAATCAGTGACGAACTTGTTTGTCAGAAAAAGTTCAACTTTTTTGTAGTAGAAAATAACTTTCGTCACTAAATAAATTCTTAACACCGACGAAACAAATTTGTCACTAATTTTTATCTTGATTAGCGACAATTATAATTGTCTCTAAAGTGATATCTAATTTGTAGTTGAAAAATGTGATTTTGTCACTGAAGATATGCAAATTTTAAGAAAAAGATTATCATTTGTACACAAAAACGTTTTGGTCCCTAAATGTATAGAATTGAAGACAAATTTGTTTGTCTAGAAAATTGTAACGAATTGTGACTGAAAGGTATTTAATTTGGCGATGATTATATAGGTTTTGGTACTATTTGCCATTTTTTAGATAAATGGATTATTTTAATATTTAGAATTTATAATAATGAATATTCTATAATTGAATATAATAAATTTGTTGCAAATTTTAATGTTTATCGAACAAATTGTTAAAAAATGGAGAATCTTTATTTCTCATGGAGGATTAGTTACAATATTTGGGATTATGGGAATACAAAGATGAGGATATATATACACAAAAACATGAGTAGAGGAGTAAAAAACATGATATTTACATTGTATATTACAAAGATTTCAGTCTCAAATCCCCAACTAACATCAAGAAACTGCAACTAACACTTAATACATTCACCACTTCTCAATTGAAAGGAAAATACTCAGCTTTTGCTTTAACCAACCCTATTTTATAATCTTTTGATTCTTGACTATCTTTCTTGACTGCATAGTTTCTTTTTCTGTTTGCCACGCATCTCTTCTGCTTGGCTCTGTCTCTCGCCCATGTTTTGGCTTGAAGAGCCTCATATTGGTGAAGGCATGACCTTGTTTGTCAGAGAAAAAAAATAGGCAAAGACATGACATCAACAGAAAAATATAGAAGATTAACGAATTAAAATAAAAAGAGAAGAAAGACAAACCTATAGATCTTTCGTGAAACCGACAATGGTGGCAGATTTTTGAAGAAACAGAGCTACTTTTTCATGAGAGAGAAGTTGGGAGATGTAAAACTGTAAATTAGTCTACAGTTTTAATTTGTGGAAATGAGCATTTGATGGGTATCTTTATTGATTGATTTCAGTTTTATTTCCGTAAGTTTAGGGATCTTAACAAGAAAATGAGCCGATTATCTCATCCACTTTGTTACGCTAGTTATTCTTACTTATCTAGTATTTCTATTTATTTGACGAAAAGAAATTTAAATTGGTAAAAGAAACAAAAGAGAGCTACATAAAGTAAAAGATCAATTTCCAAATTCTATTCAAAATTATACGCTAAGGCCGAAATCTCTAGTAATTCCCTTTTAAAATTCTTTTAATTTTAAGAAAATCAAAAATTATGTTTATTTAAAAAAAGATACAGCAAAAAAAAATCAAAAGTTCCTTAGATTTTTTTGAAATTCCTTAGATTGTTTAGTTGAACCTAACATTATGAAAAATAGAAGACAGTATCATATATTTCCAAAGAATTTTCCTCTTTTCTTTTTCAATTCAAAAATATATTTAAAAAATAATCTTCTTAGAGAATTTTTTTTTATTATTAAACCTTTGGGTAAATTAGGCTAAACACCTTTGTAATATGACTCAGTTGCAAATATATCTCTTGTATTTTAAATCAAACACTTACACTCCTTATACTATAAAAATATTATACGAATATAACGACTCAGTAACAAATATAC